ATCCATCCATCCATCCATCCATCCATCCATCCATCCATCCATCCATCCATCCATCATCCATTTATCCAGGGTCATTGTGTTAGCAGGAGGTCCTTACCTGCGTGCCGTTGAAGACTCCAACCTGGACGACTCGACCTGCTTTCTGGTGGTTCAGGATGCTGTAGGTGGCAAAGCGGCGGTCGCCGTCGTCGTTAAACTCAATCCGTCCTGTGAGGCCGTCTGGGTACTTTGATGACATCAGCACCCTGATAAGCAAACCAGAGGACCGTGGTGAGGGATAAAGATCTGCGGTTTGGCTGCAGGTCTCCATGGCTGTCTTTGAGGTCATAGATGGGAGACGAATAGTGGCGGTAGTTTTTATTATTCCGGTTCTTTCTCCCTGACTTCACACTGAACCCACATCAGATCAGCCAAGCGTCTCCATATCCCTCTAACATCCATGTCCAGCTGATGGACAAGACTTGGCTGTAAGATTAAAACGATTAAACATCCCACAATGGACGTATTCATCAAACATGACAGTATGAGGCCTTGGGGTGATAACAGCGGGGGGTCTGACACGCAGCTACTGGCTACAGATCAGAACTTCTCCATCACTGCACACAGTTTGGAAACTTCTCCTTCTTAGGTCCTCAGCTGGACAGTGCTGCTGATGACGACTCATTTTTCTTTAATTCTCTGGGTTTCTGGAGCTGCAGACCAAACTTCATGGCCCCTTCACACCTTGATGATTTAGACCAGCGTATGCCTGAGGAATGAAAAATCTGGCAAAAACGCTGGCATACGTTGGATAAGTGATGAGCACGCTGAAACATGCTGGGACAGGTCGACATACGGCAAGAACATCATGATGTCTGCCATATGTGGTCCGTCAGTTCCAGGTCAGTTATCTGATGGTTGACATCAGATGATCCTAAACATCTGAGTAACTTGTGCGTAACTTCTCCAGAACTTCTCTCCAACATATCAGCGTATCTGACGTGTTCCAGACGAGCGCTGAACGTCTAACGTTTCTAACTTCCAGCTACTGTATAATGGCGTATTGGCAGCGTTTTGGTATAAAGGGGGTTCACAGGAGGAAACCGTCAGTTCTCCTCCAGGCTTCATCCCCATCATAGGGTGAGCCAGAAGGTGAGTGATGGATCCTCCCTGCGTTCACGCCCACCACCAACACACTTCCTAGCAGACATGACGCTCAATCTGCTGCTGCCAGAAACCTGCTTTCTTTCTTTTTTCTTTTTATTTCTTTTTCTTTTTTTTTTTGGTAAACAGCAGTTAGGTACAACAGAGTATTAGGGCCAGGTTTGAGATTGTTTTATGAAGTAAAGTCGTAATATCCTGGGAATAAAGTTATAATATTATGAGAATGAAGTCGTAAAATCACAGAATGAAGTCATCATACATCAACCCATTTCAGAAATAAAGCTTGGAGCTCCGCCCATCAGATGACATCAGACCAGCTCCACCAATCAGCAACCAGAGTCCACTTTGACATCCTGCCCAGTTTGATGCTGCTGCTAAAAGATTTCCTGATTAGTCAAACCGATGCTAAAGTAGAACTTCCCATGATGCTCCACATTCCTCATTTTAGGGAAGAAAGGGATTCTGGTAGGAGTTGTCATAAAATACAACTTTATTCACATAATTTTACGACTTTATTCGCATAACTTTATGAATATTCTTGTTGTGACTTTATTCTTGTAATATTATTAATTTATTCTTATAATTTTACAATTTTATTCTCCTAATTTTATTACTTTATTCTGATAAAATTACGACTTTATTCTCGGACGCTGGATAAATCAGCAAGCTGTGACGGGGTCTAACATTTACAATTCAAAGACATTCCTCTGATAGTTTTGCTGCTGTTCGTCCCTCAGTTCCATTTCTCCACTTTCCATTTCCGCCCTCACTGAAAATAATAGTAATGAAGCCAATAAACAATGGCTTAACAGAAAAAAGGTTTTGCTGTAAATGTTTGGAGTTCAGGCCCGGTTGAGAACCAGAACTCAGCTGAAAACCCTGAAACCTGCCTTCATCGCTGACAGACCGAAGCAGCAACCGAAGCTCAACCAGAGCTGAACTGGGTCCGGATAAACTCAAAGGCTTTAGTTTTAGAGGTTCTTGTGGCAAACTGGAAAAAAATCCTCAGAAACAAAAACTTGAGCTAAATAGACCAGCATGAGATGACCAATCAGAAACGGCAGTTGGAGCAGCGGTACCGACCGTTTGAAGAGCGGCCCGGTTCTCCAGATGTTGGTGTTCCCCACGCAGCCTCGAGGAGGCTCTGTGATGTTCTCCTTCTCAAACAGCTCCTGCAGAGACTGAGCAACCACGGCCACGGCGTCCGTGATGTGAGCCGACTCGTTCTTCCCGTTGATCAGCTGAAGACCCAGCAAGCCTGCACCGCGCACGCCGCACACACCAACACACACACCAACACACAGAAGAGAGTGAGGCTGGATTCACTGAAGGCTGCCCTCATTCACACACTCGGAGACACACTTTCATCCGGGGTAATTAACTTGGTGTAATTCAGACACACACTCTGGGGCTTCAGGCGTCAGGTCACTCTTCAGTTACACCAAAGTGCATGCTGGGAATTCACTTTCACAATCACCACCGTTTATCTCAGTGCAGAGAAAGCCCCACTGAGACATTATGAAGCGTCGCTGGTGATTTCCTTCTGCAGAGTCGTGTCAAACTGCGAAGAAAAGTGTCAACATCTGTCCTTCAGCTGAGCCTCTGCAGTCCGCTAACACTGTTAGCATCATCAAAGCTGCCTTAAAGTGTCTCTGAGCTCGAGAACATTTGATAAAACCAGACTTTGTTGTACAGGCCTGGATCATTTGGACTTTAGGCTAACTGCAGACACCCGCTAACTTTTCAAATGAAAATCATGCTGTCAGAAAGCGCTGCGGGTGTTACCAAAGTTAGGTTTGGTGCTGTCCGCTAAGACCCAGTTTACACGAAGGGAACACGCAAATATTTCCCCGCGGTTTGGCCTCTCGTTTAAACCTAAACCCCATTTTTATTAAAAGAAAACGATTATTTCTAAAACCTCCTGCCAAAGTGGAGATTTCTGATAACGCTGGTTATGTGTTGCCGTATCAACAGCGATGAACGGCGTTTTAGCTTCTTAAACCTAACAGCGTATTTATGCGCTTTGATATAAATGACAAGTTTATTGAAAACAATGTTGTGTGCACGATGTTATTATTGAAAACGGAGGGGGGGGGGAATATTAGTTTCTCTAAATGTAAACGTTTCTCTATGTGTAAATGTGGCGTAAAGTTCCTCGAAAGTCTCGTTCGTGAGGTCGTCTTAAAAGAAAAGTCGCCCATATTCAGAATACAAACTTCTGAAAGTTCTTTAAATCTGAAATGATTCCATCCTGTTCAATAAATGATCAGTGTTTTTATTTAAGAGTAATTTTCATGTGAATGTGCTTTACTGGAGGCATCCATGTTTGTCAAAGAACTCTACTGCCACCTACTGGTTTGTGACGTCACGGTGCGGTATCGGCTGTATTGGGTATTACAGGCTAAAAAAAGAAGCCAAACGACCCCCATTCCAAAGCGGTGGACCCATTCTTTTTTTGAGGTTACGGGCGTTTTGAGGGTGATTGACAGGTCGAGTCGAGGGAGTTGGAGACGCATTGGAGGAAGAGAGAGAGAAATGGCGCAAAAAATGTCCTTTTCCAGGACCTGCTTTAGCTCCAAGGCTAGGCTAACTGCATGCAGCGAGGCTAACTGCATGCAGCGAGGCTAACTGCATGCAACGAGGCTAATGCTGTATCCTGCTTTCCCTGCCTCCTTTTTCAAAGTAAACCTGAACATGAAATTATGTTTTTTTTTAAATAAGTGCTTTTGTTGTTGTTTGCATTCATATAAATATGCTGGTGTGATAACGTAATATACGATTGGCTTTTGGTATACGTCTATTTTCAATTTATAGCCCCACCCCGAGAGAACTTAACCAGCCGCCACTGCTCTGAAATATGTATTAATTCACACACACCATAAAATAATAAGACAGCTCCCTGTGTAGAAACATGCTAACTGCTATTTTTTTACACAGCTGCCATAATATCAGTCTACACGCCTTATTTCTGGGAACAGTCCCTTGGTTTTTGACAACCTGAAATCAGGGACACCTGATTACCATAGACTAAAACAGAACAGGCTCCTCATGCTAACATTACAACTTGCTAAACAACAAGCTTACAATCAAACAGATTAACATTTATCCGTTTAGAACAGGCGGACGGGTTGTTCCAACGAATCACGTATTAAAACATGTTCTGCAGAGACGGGGAAAACTGCCTTTACTAACAACCGATCCTAACACTGCTAGCATGCAGTTGTGGCTACATTATCTGAAGCACTAAATGTAGAGGCTTTTTTCCTTCATAATTTGACACAAGTCTGTTAAAGAACAACAGCAACCGCGCCCAAAATGTCCCAGTCCGGCTTCACATGTTTCTTTTCAGGAAACTGCTTCAGAAACTGGAAGGGTTTACACAATAATAAAAACACCAGGACCAAATCTGCTGCCATTAAACTAATATCAACGAATTCAAACATTCCTTCCAAGAGTTTTGATAAAAGATTTTTTTTTAAAACCTTCTTAATATGTTCATATGTTGAAGACAATTCATTATGAAACAGCCCTCTTTTGAAAACTGTCAAATTTGATAATTTGTAATATTTTCCTGTAGAGAAACCTGCTGAAAACCGAGACAAACAGAAGTTCTAACAGACTTTTAAGATTTTTTCCTTCACATTTGTTTGGATGTGAAAAAAAAAAGTTTATTTCTGGGAGTGCAGCAGCCGGTTGGTGAGGATGTTTTCTAGAGGGATTAAAACCACAAACAGACAGCAGAAGCAGATCAAACAGCAGCCAGAGATCCCATCAAAATAGCCTAGAATGAGAACCTCAGTGTACCGGAACATCATTGGACACCAGGGTACCATGACATCCCTGGACAACAGGGTATTAGGACGTCAATGGACAGGACATAGTCGGAATCCAAGGTACCAACATACCTTTGGACACCAGGGTTCCAGGTCATCAATGGACACCAAGGTACAAGAAAATCATTGTAGCCAAGGTACCAGGACATAATTGGACACCAGGGCACCAGGACATTATTGGACACCAAGGTACCAGAAAATCATTGAAGCCAAGGTACCAGAATATCATTGGACACCAGAGAACTAATGTATTATGGGACCAGACTACCAGGATATCATTGGACACCAAGGTACCAGGAAATCATTGACACCAATGTACCAGGATATCATTGGTACCCAGATATGGAACACCAGGGAACAATAGTATCATGGGACCAGGCTACCAAGATATCACTGGACACCAAGGTACCAGTATATCAAAGGACATCAAGGTACCGGGACATCATTGGACATGTGCATACCAGGACATTATTGGACACCAAGGTACCAGAAAATCACTAACGGCAAGGTACCAAAATATCATTGGACACCAGAGAACCAGGACATTATTGGAAACCAAGGTACCAGAAAATCATTGAAGCCAAGGTACCAGAATACCATTGGACACCAGGGAACCACTGTATTATGGGACCAGGCTATCAGGATATCACTGAACACCAAGGAAGGAGGAAATCACTGACACCAAGGTACCAGGATATCATTGGAAACCAGGGTACCAGGACATGGAACACCAGGGAACCAATGGGTATTATGGGACCAAGGTGCCAGGATATCACTGGACAACAAGGTATCAGAACGTATTTGACACCAAGGTTACTAGAACATCTTTGGACACCAAGGTACCAGCACATCACTTGACACCAAGGTACCAGTAAATTGTTGATGCCAAGTTAACAAGATATCACTGGTCACCAGGAGATCAGGACACCAGGATACCATTGGAGACCAGGGAACAAGGACATCTGTGTACACTAAGGTACCACAACATAATTGGACATCAAGATACTAAGAAATCAATGGAAACCAGGGAACGGGGTCATCATTTGAGACTAAGGTTCCCTGAAATAATTGGCACTAAGGTACCTCAACATCACTGGACACCAGTGTACAAGGACACCATTGGACTCCAATATAAAAGGATATCATTGGACACCAGGGTAACAGGACATAGTTGGGATCCAATGTACTGATATATCATCGAACACCAGGGTTCCAGATCATCAATGGACACCAGGGAACCAGGATATCTTTGGATACCAATGCACCAGGAAATCACTGGACACCAGGGTACCAGGACATTACTGAACAACAAGGTACCAGGATATCAATGGACATTAACGTACCGGGACATCATTGAGGACAAAGGTACCAGGACTTTTTTTCCAGCTTTTTTATTGTCATTGCACTGTCACAATTACAGAGAAATAAAATGAATCAGCAGTGGGCTGCCATTGTGCAATGCCTTTGGAGAAGTGTGCGGTTAATGGTCTTGCACAGGGACCCAGAGTGTCAGTCCGTGGGAGTGGAGCTTGAACTCAGAACCTCTGGATTCCAAGTGCAATGCCCTAACCAATAGGCCACACTCACCTAGTTGGAATTACAGGTACTAGTATATTATTGGACACCAGGGAAGCAGGACATGGTATAATGGGACCAGGGTACCAGGACATTACAGGACATTAACCTTGAACAATGGAGGGTCCCAGGACATCAATGGACACCAGGGAACAAGGATATCACCAGACACTAAGGTATTACAACGTCAGAGAAGCATTGTACTGGAGTGTGAGTGGGTCAGGTTACCGCCTCAGGCAGGATGGATAATCAGCCCCATGTTAATTTGTTTTAGTAGGTTTTAGATTCACCCATCAGGATGTTCTCTGCAGCTGTTCCTGCTACCTTGGGATGTTCTGGCTATGGTGTCAAAAGCAAGGCCAAGATGGCTGGTTCGAAGTTTAAGGTTTTGGATAAATACGCCCATGGGAAGCTGACATTCTGTCTGAGGGGAGCTTTAACAACAGGTGATCTACTGGCTGTCTGCATAATCAGCTGACTCAATAAGCCACACCCCCAACTTCCACGTCGCAGAAGTGGATGGGGCCTTTATTGAATGCATCAGGCACATAACAGGAAGCAGCGGAGGCATCTTACCCATGTTTGATTCGACACACATCACTGTAACAAACCCCAACCGCATCCACAAACAAACCCCTTGCCCACCCACACATACTGCCCTCCCACGAATTGGCCCCTGTGATTGGCTGTGAGAACGGGCAGACGACATACACTATAGAATGAAACAAAAAGATGTTAGACACATTTAAAGCCACAGTCACAGCGAAGAACTGCCGGTTGGGAACCTTTAAACACGTCCACACCTCCTCCTGATGTTTAAACGTTCAACCAGCTGACAGGAGAACCAGAGAGAAATACACCAAGAAGCTCAGTGACAGAGAGGAGGACGAGGAGCACCCTTAATCAGAGGCCCTCAGCCCTACCAGAGACAGAGCAGCTCTGTTTTCATCCAACCATAGAGGACACCACAAAGGAGGACATCCAGCAGAACCAGCCGCGTCCTCACATGACGTCACAATGGACCAGCTTCACCAATGTCCATCGAACATCTGAGGAAAATTCAAAACCTCACTGATCCACCTAAACATCTAGAAAGAGGAAGCTGCTGACTCACTAACCGACGTGTCTCTGGTTCCTGGGTGTTTCCTGCCTTCAGTGAGGAACCCAGAGCAGAACCCAGAGTCTGAACCTTGAACAGTTTGGGACAAGGATACAACTAATTGGGTCAGAACCTTCTGGTGCTCTCACAGGTTTTGGTTGTGTCTCTGCAGTGTAAACAGGACCTTAAGGTTTAGTTTCTCCAGAACCATCCAGAGATGAAATCCACTGTGAGTGGATCAGAGAGTGGGCGTGTCTCTCTGCACTGTGCGCTCTGATTGAGCAGAAACCTGTCATTCCTTCAGCACAGGGAGACAGGAAGACCAAGGATTGGATGGAGACCTTGTCCAAATCAAAACGGTATTGAATATTTCACTGAGTCAGAACCATCATCACACTCAAACCTAAAATTCTGGAAAACCTCTGGAAAACTGATCTAAATCATAACTGGGTCGAACCGAGTCCAACTTCCTGTGACCCGATGGAACTTGGTTCTGATGGCTCTGGTTATTCAGGCAGTTGATGAATCTGCAGAATGGTAGAAGGAAACGTTCTGGGCTCTATGGTTTGGACCCATTACTCCTAACCTGCATAGTTATGGTTCTGAAACCAGGGCTTCTGGCCGGGTTCTGCAGCCCTCGCTGGCTGCTGAGGAGCTAAGCAACTATTCATTCAGATGTCCTGGAGGCACAAGGATGGCCTGCATGGGATTCATCCTTGGCCCCTCGTTTCTGTTCTCATTGCTTCCTCCTTCCTTACTGCACCAGAAGTCCCTCCCTTCGTCCTGCTCCCCACCTGTCTGTCTTCAGATCCTCCACTCCTGCTGATTCCATGCTTCCTCCTTTTTCTCTATGGACTCTTAAGTCTCCCTGAAAGAACTCAAGATCTTCAACTTCTCTTTTAGTCAGAAGCAAACAAGTCTCTGCTCCCGGTGAACCATCAAGCCCAAACAACCACGGCAGAAACAATTCCTAGAGGTCAGGCTGGCTAGAGCCCAGCTGCTTGTCTGCTGAAGATCAGAGCTTCAGCCTGGGGGTTGGATGGAATCAGAGCTGGAGAAAGACAGATAGAGAGGGACAGAGAGGAAGAGGTCGATCGACACGTTACCATCAGGAGCTTCGCTTAAAGCTTTCCCGCTCATCTCCCGCTCTCCCACCAGCCAGACGTAACCAGAACCGGTCATATTAAGCTGCCGGGCCGCTTTGTACACAGCAGCAGCTTCATCCTCGCTGCAAACAAACCATTAGAGAAGAAGTAAACAGACAGGAAGTAAACACACGATAACAGGAAGTTAAATGACATAGACAGGAAGTATGTAATCACAGGAAGTAAATTGACAGACAGGAAGTAAACTCACAAAGACAGGAAGTAAAAAATCAAAGAAAATAAACTGACACAGACAGGAAGTAAACACACAATTCCAGGAATTAAACTGAAACAGACCAGAAGTAAACCATCAAGGGAAGTAAACTGACACAAACAGGAAGTTAACAATAAAAGAAAATAAACTGCCACAGACAGTAAGTAAACAGTCACAGGAAGTAAACTGACACAGACAGGAAGTTAACAATCAAAGAAAATAAACTGACACA